CCCTGTCGGGCCACCCCTTCGGAGGAGCGGGCTGGCAGAGATGCGCTGCCGGCAGCACGAGGTGTCTGGTGCAGGGCTGGGCTTGAGCCAGGGACCAGCCGTGTCCAGACGCCCTTGATCAGCTGCCCACATCACTCCTGCCTGCGCTGGGCTGGGACCTGTGAGCCGGAGGCAAAGCCCTGTGTCACTGTCCTCAGCTGGTGACCCCAGTTGCTCTGAATTCCCCGTCCCATCTGCTTCCTTGCGGGCTCACTTAACCTTCCCGTCTCTCCCCGCAGGGCAGGAAGGGGTTTTATTTCCACTACTGGGCCTTGTTTGATGGCCATGCGGGCAGTGGTGCTGCTGTCATGGCATCCAAGAGGCTCCATCTGCACATCTGTGAGCAGCTGCGGGACCTCGTGGACATCCTGCAGGACCCCTCCCCACCTCCCATCTGCCTCCCGCACAACACGAGGGCTGTGTCTGCGGAGCCAAGCCAGGTGTCCGTCACAGAGGACAATGGAGAGGTCCCCAACAATGCTGTGCCACGGTTTCACCTGGAGAAAGCGGTCTCCCACGAGAGCCTGGTGATCGGCGCCATCGAGAACGCCTTTAAGCACATGGTGAGTGAGCCCCTGCCTGCGGGGCATCCCCTAGGAGCATCTCTGCTCTCTCTGTCTGCGCTGGGTTGTCCCCTCCAGCAAAAGGCAGCTCTGCAGCAAGGAGAGGGCTGCATTGAGGGCTTCTAGCAGGATGGTCTCAGAGAGGGCACTGTGATGCTTTCCTGTATTTTGGGGGTTCAGGTTGCGGAGGCTTTGGGCTTCGGGCTGCGCAGATGCAGAGGGCTTCGTTGCACGATGTTCCTGCAGTCCCAGCTGCTGCTCTCGTGTCTTGCTCTTTCCTGCCCACTCTGATGCCCCAGTGAAGCCACGTCCCCAGCTGCCCCGCAGGACCCCTGCCCCAGCCCTGCAGACGCCCCTGGGCTGCGTGGGGAAGGGTGCCCGGGCCCCGCTGGCTGCTGCTCCCCGCCCGG